GTCAATAGCATTCCTCAGAGGGGAAAAAAGCTACCTCTCACATACACACAGAGCAACCAAATCATTTGATTATCCACACAAAGGAGGTATTTTGTCAACTACGTGGCAACAACATCGTCTTATGCAGGATTGCCATGACAAATTTTTTTCAACTAGTGAGGGGTATATAATAGAGTAAACATCTTCATAATCTGGTAAAATAAACAATGACAGTTACGATCTTTCTCAAGGAAAATAGGTAACATCTTTAGATCAAGAGTGCAGTGGAAAAGCAAGGGAGTGAAATAGTTTGCCTCATTCAATCCAGTTTGAAGAAGAAAATCGTCAAGCAGAACACAGGATATTCCAGTGAAGAGGGTGGAAAGTACAAGAGGAAGCAAGCTACTTTTAATACAACTCCAATTATTTAATTAACTCCTTACCACAGGATGAGCTTCTAATAACATGTCAAAACTGGGTTTTGCTCAAATGGTTGCTGAGCTATGAACTGCAGGAAGAGTACTCAGAGAAGTATCATATGAAGAGGGCAAGTGTATAACTCTTCCCCAGACATCTGCTTTTGGCTACCAGCATGGATAAAACACTGAGACAAACATACCTTTGTTCATGCCTAGCATAGTTGCTTTTTAATTTTTTTTAGTTATAAGCAAGCTAGTTTTCATTGAAATAAACAGAATACAAAAGATATACATACACTCATACCTCCACTTAATTTCTTTCTTTTTTGTGTGTGTTTTAATTCACTCAATCACTTTCAAGTCTGTAGAATCTGCTTCGTGGGTGCTGCTGGACAATAGCCAAAGCTTGCACTGGTACCAGAGACTCAAATATCCTGCAATCCACACAGCAGTTGACAAAGTACTTAGTTTTCCACTTTCCAAGCACAGATACTTCTATAAAAGAAACCCTCGAATCACTTGCAAAGGAAAAGCTGAACACCACACATCCTGAAAGTCAACCAGAACTTCAAGAGATGCTCTGCTAGAATAACAGTCCAGTTGGAGGACTAAAGGAAAACAATCCTTTGTTCAACCTCTTTCTGCTTGCAAGAGAAGTCTATAACACTCTGATATGGCCTCAATAATAATTTCTGCCTTATTAATAGCTAAGCAAAGCAGGTCAGCTTTAGTCAGCACACTACCTGACATTTCAAAATAGAGTTGAAAAGTTGATTCCCCTTTAC